TTGGAAACCTCCCCAATATTATACACACACACAGCTGGTAAGGACCAGAGGCAGAATGTGAGCCCAGGTCTCCATGTTTCCACACCTGTGATCTGTGGAGGCCACTCTGCCCTCTGGAGGTGCTGGCTCTCAGGGGTGGAGCAGGAGCAGCTGGACAAAAGGGGAAAGACCAACAACTACAAAGAGCAGTCGCCTCCAGTGGGCTGCTGGATTCTCTGCAGACAGTGTTCAGCTGTGGGCTTGTCACTGTGCCCCTTCGACAGCCCAGGGGTCAATGAGTGACCAGACAGGGAGCACACCTAGCACATCTGGGACAAGCAGCCAACACTCTGCTCCTCACAGTGATCATGGGGAGGGTGAAAGTAAAACTCTCCGAATACTGCTTGTTTCTAGATGTTGACATATTTCAGACATGGGCTACTATGGAAAAATGGCTGGGATTAAAATTCTGCATGGCTTTCTCTGCCTGCTCTGAGTCTTGGGAAGTAGAGTGGGGGGACACCTAAGTCAGGAAAGGCCTCCTAACCGGTTAGGCTCAGGGCCAGCCTGCCCTGCTCTGTAAATGGGTGCTGAGCCAGAGGCAGGCTTGGAACCATGGAGGATTCCACAGCTGGTCCAAGGGGAGCCAGGCTCAGACATGGGAAGGTCAGCAGCCTCCCGTGAAAGAAGGGGCTTCTCCGACGGGCTGAGAAACCCTGGGAGATGGACTCACCATTAGAAGTCACCCGTTTCCCCCCCTTTTTAATGTGGGGAGTTTGTAGGACCAAATTCACCAGCTAGTGCAATTTGATGGTGAATCCAAGCTTACCTGAAGAGGAGAGTGGCCTTAGCACCAACCCCTGGGTGAGCTCCAGGCAAACAAACAGGGAGAAGTTGCTGGCAGTCAAAGGAAAGTTCCAGAGTCTGAGCCAGAGTGGTGTGGGGTGGAGAGAAGGAAGCACAGGGCAGGGCAGGCAGGAGAGCAGGGCCAGTGCGGGTCCTGAGGGACAGGAAACTCCTTGGCATCCAGGGCCAAGGTCAAAGGAGGGCACAGAGTTCCCAGCTTCAGAGCTGGGTTCGGGGCCTCCAAAGCCTGAGACAGCTGGGTGGGGAAGACAGAGGAGCAGAAAGCAGGTTCCAGGGCTGAGACTCTACCAGGTGCAGCAGCAGGTTCTTCCCAGGGGTCCCTCTGTCAGGGGCCCCTAGGAGCCAGTTGGGGGAAGAGAGGGACCCGGCTCAGGCCCAGAGGGGAGCTAAAGTGAGGCGAGAGGCTTGTAGCTCAGTGGAGCAGATGTGTGGGGAAGGCAGTGGGAGCGCTGTCTCTCCTTGGCTGAGCCCTTCTTTTCTCAGCCCATTCCTGAAGATAAGAGACTTTCCAGCAGTCTCTGGGCCTCTCTTTACACATAATGTCATTCATTCATTCATTCATTCGTTCGTTCATTCATTCATTCATTCATTCGGTCGGTCGGTCAGTCAGTCAGTCGTTTATTTAATCGCCAGCTCACCGAGCGGCTACCGCATACCAGGCGCCGTGTGAGGACGGATGTGGACCAATGTTATGGGGACACAGTGGGAGGTGACTCAGGACTGAAGTCAAGGAGAGGTGACTCAGCTGGGGAGCCAGCAGGTGCTCCACAAATATTAGGTGTGTGCTTGGTGGGAGTGCAGGGCAATGACGAGGAGGAACTGTCCACACACCTGGGTTGGAAGGGTGATCTGGATTTTCCTACGGCCACACCCAGTAGCAGACTGTGTTTGGAGGGCAGCTCTGAGCTTCGGTTATACGTTATGCTGATCAAATGCTGGTTAAGGACTCAAGGAATCCCTGTTCTTATGTCCCCAGAAAAGAGAAGACTGTGGCAGGGAATCTTCAGGAACTGGCCTCAGGGGAGGGAAGGTGTAGCTGGGCAGGCGCTCAGAGGCCGCTCACCTTCTGCCATCCCAGGGTTGCTACGGTCAGGGTGCCCAGGCCTTGTCGCTGTGCCACGGGGGACCCCTTCCAGAGTGAAAGCAACTCCTGTTCAAAACAAGCCTTTTAGCCAGTTCTCTCCTCTCAGAGCCTGGCCCACACAGTGATGAGGAATCAGTGCCTTGTTTCCACCTCGGCTAATTAATGTCCTTTCCTGTTTTTTAGCAGAGCTAGAAATGCCTTCAGTTGATCCCCATGGCCACTTCAAATGGGAAGCAGACTGATGGTTACCTACGCGGATTATCCCGCCATGATTAAGGCTCGCCCATAGGGAAGGCTCTTTGTGCCTTTCTCATTGCCACACACACAAAGCTTGCCCAGGACTCTGAGTGCACCCAGCTCCAAGCCAGGAGCCTGGGCTCCCCCTCTCCCTTTAATCATGTGCCTGCCTTGTTTCCTCTGTAGGCATCAGGAGGGGCTGAGACAAAGGCGAAAAGGACTTCTGGGTTGAAGGCCCTTTCTTGGGGGGTTTGTTGTTGACCTTGGGGGAAGTTACTTCACTTCTTGTGGCCTCAAACTCCCAAGACCCATTACACTACTGGCTCTAAATAAAGCCATGTCCCTAGCCCCAGGGAGTCCCGATCTGATGAGGGAAAGTGGTCTTCCTGTAGAGAGCTCCTAGAATGAGCCATGACGGGCATAGACTAAGGGCTCTGTTAATATTTCTGGGTGAATGAGGGAACAAGTATTACCAAGGGAACACCACTGTTTTTAGCAGGCACAACTCTGACACTCAGAACCCGTCTCCCCACCCCCCAGGAGATACAGAGCCAGCAAGAGCTCTAAGTGTTGAGACTGGAGTTGGAAGTGGGCAAGAGGTGTGTGTGTGGGGTCATCCCTGAGGGCTCCATGGATGGACTTGGGGCACAGGCAGTTAGAAAAGGTTCCAGGGTCTCAGGTGGGGGTGATGTATGGTTGGGTTAGGAAGGAGGAAAGGGCCATGGCCAGAAGGCTGGGTGGAGTGGAGGGAAAGATTATCCTAGAAGATGAATTATCCCTTGAAAATCTCTTAAATAGGAGAAAGGTGAAGGTGTAGTTGGTTAAAGCAAAGCAGGTTTACCTAGATTAGCAGCCAGTCAGGAAGGGGTGGGGTCCGGGGAGGTAATAATTAATTCTGAATGGGTGTAGTTCAGTGGAGTTTGAAGAAAGATTCGGGAAAGGGAGATAATGGTTTTGAAACTCCCAGACGAGGAGTCTGCATTCAATCAATTCCATGACCTGTAGCATCTATCTACCTTTATAAGGCAGACAACATATGCCCACCTCTGCTCCTCCACTCCCCTCCCCTTTCCCACTTGCTCATGTGCCCAAATGTATTCTATCCCATAGGACGTGCAACCATCTCAAGAAAAAAGAGAGCTGAAAGGTGCAAGATCACAGGAAGACTCAGATTTCCCTCCAGGGTTAACTTATGAAACCCTCCAGGAAGACTATGACTCACTCCACCCCCATCATGAGCCCTACACTCTGGTCTAAGGGAGAAGGTGGCAGTGAGAATTAGGCGCAGGTGACATCAATGGCAGGCAGCCAGGGCTAAAAAATACTAAGTGGGTGGTTTTCATCACAAAAGCTGAGCCAACTGGTAATTGAGGGGAGTGGGGTGAATCATGTTTGACAGGTAAGGAATGAAAACAGAGGGGCCTGGGACGATCCTATTTTCCTAAGGCAGGGCTCAGTCATCTTATAAGAAGCCAGCTGGCAGTTGACTTTACACCAGATCAGAGGGACCAGAAAGCCTGTTCTTCTCTGCATACCAGGTGAGTCTCTGATGGGAACCAATGTGAAATCCTTGTTTATTTTTTCATTATTAGAAACTGGACAGAGGTAAATGTGTAAGAGGGCTGATGCAGGGTGTTGATAAGAGAGTGAGACTACTGGGATATTTTTATTTATTTTTTAAAATAAGTTTTTATTGATTTCAGAGAAAGGAAGGGAGAGGGAGAGACAGAGATAGAAACATCAATGATGAGAGAGAGAGTCGTTGATCGGCTGCCTCTTGCATGTTCCCTACTGGGCATGGAGCCTGCAATCCAGGCATGTGCCCTGACCGGGAATTTAACCGTGACCTCCTGGTTCATAGGTTGATGCTCAACCACTGAGCCATGCTAGCCAGGAGGGATATTTTTATTTTAAATTAAAGCACAGTTTGGGTTTGAAGAGAACTTAGTAGGTGGTTAAGTTGGCCACCTCAGTAGACAACTATGAAACTGCGAGTCAGGGAAGGGGATATATTTGTGCAAGATCCCACAGTAAGTTAAAAGCAGGCTTATAGCTACAACAGGCCCAGAGCACTCTCAGAAACACCACTGTCCTCTCTGTTTATGAAACTTACTATAACATTTTTAATTCATATGATAGACCTCTACAGAGCCTTTGTTATATTTAAGGCACTATGCTAAGCACTTTGGGTAAATCATACCCATAGGAACTTACTCAACAGACTCACAACCCAGCAGGGAAGAGAATGCATATATATACACAGATGAACAAAGTACATAGTGACTGGTAAGGGGAGAGGGGCAGGGAAGGGCTATGGCAGCTGGGGAGCCACACTCATGAAGAGTTCCCGGGGATGGCTCATGATGTGAGCCACAGTGGAGCAGTATTTGGACAGCAGAGATGGGAAGGAAAGGCCAGAGTGAGGCTGTAGGAGCTTGGATTCTTATACAGTCATCCTATAAGTCACAGCTATGTTGTGTAGTACTAGGAGTGGGTAGACTGCAGTTGTGTCTTAGGTATTGCCTTCCAAAAGACCTAGTATGGGTACTTGTCAATGAGGGATGTGACATGTCTGGGGAAGAAAAGAAGCTTAGCAATGAACCCACTGAAATGGAATGAACACATTGCGTTTAAGCTCCTTTTCTTGAAAGGGCCCAGAAATTACCAAAGCATATTTTACTCTCAATTGTAAGAGGACGGCCAAGGGGAGATGAGGCTCACTCTTGTACAGGGGCCTAAAATTAAACCTTTTTGGCATTGAATGTGGCTTCCTCCCTATTTAATCCCTGTTTAAACCATCTGTTCTTCCTCTAGGTCCAGACTCCTTTGAACCATGAGCTCCCACCAGCAGAAGCAGCCCTGCACCTCACCCCCTCAGCTTCAGCAGCAGCAGGTGAAACAGCCCTGCCAACCTCCGCCCCAGGAAACACACCAAACCAAGGAGCCATGCCACACCAAGGTGCCAGAGCCCTGCCATACCAAGGTTCCTGAGCCATGCCACACCAAGGTTCCTGAGCCCTGCCATACCAAGGTTCCTGAGCCATGCCACACCAAGGTTCCTGAGCCCTGCCACACCAAGGTTCCTGAGCCCTGCCACACCAAGGTTCCTGAGCCCTGCCACACCAAGGTTCCTGAGCCATGCCACACCAAGGTGCCTGAGCCATGCCACACCAAGGTTCCTGAGCCCTGCCACACCAAGGTTACGGAGCCATGTCCCTCAAAGGTCATTCCAGCGCCAGTTCAGCAGACCAAGCAGAAGTAATGTGGTCTGTGCCCTTGAGGAACGAGCACTGGATGCTGAATCCCCTCTCCCATTCTGCTTATCTATCCCACTTACAATTAACATTACCCCTCCCTCCTTACACCTCCAGAAAGATGTCCCTCACACTCAGTCTGGAGGGCTCCTGAGCCCTTGAATAAGCCTGAAAGTCTCACTGGCTGAGATAGTCTTCTAGCTGCTCAGGGCTCATCTGAAGAGTGATTTTGGGGGGTGGGATCAAGTGATTCTTCCCTGCTCTGCCCCCAATAAATCATTTTAACTCCATAGCTGGCTATGTGTGTCATTGGCTGACTCAGCTTTCTTCACTCTTCTCTCAACATGAAGTAGGAACCGCACACAGCAGGGCTTTCATGAGGGCTGTTGTCAAAAAGTGTCTGATGCAGGCACTGAGAATGTGCAGATGTGTACGTGTGACTGTTGTACTCACAGGATGTCCCTGGGCTGCCAATGGGAGAGCAGTCAAGGCCACCCAGAACCTCCTGCTTTGGGCAGCTTCAGCCGGAGCAGGGCTTTCTTCTTGCCCCTGAGTGTATCATATCTGAATGTAGATGGTCGCTGCCTCAAGCCACCTCTGACTCTGAGCTCTTGTCCCCAAATAGCCCTTATTCTGTCTAGTTTATTCCATTATTATTATTATTCCAAAAAAATAGTGCTTGTACATATTCCAGTGTGATTATCTGTTCCTCACTTATCTTCCCTTCCTGTTGCCCCAACACAAGGAAGCCAAGCACTTAAACACACACACTCAAACACAAACACACACACACACAGGTCCACAAACATACCTACCCACGCACTCACCACAGAGAAACACACACAGGTAGACTCCTAGACACACACACACAGATCCCCCAAGTCACACAACACACACATCCATGCTGATTTGATCACCTTAGTCAGCGTTTATCTTTCACTGAATGCCCAATATGATGACCTCAATGCTGCAGAAGGAGAGTAGACTCCACAGTGCCTGCCCTAGGAGCAGCCTAAGAGGGGTGATCTTTACTCTATTTCCTATATAAACTTACAATGACACAAAAAGCATGGACACGGCATTGTGAAAAATCTCCCAGAATACCACTCCCTTACCCCACTTACAACCAAGGACTCTAGTCTTCCCCACTGCCCTTGAACCTGTGAACTCAAGGTCATCTGGCAGAGGTGGAGTTAGTTCTCTATCTGGTCTGAGCTCCTCCTCTTCCCTCAGCAACTCTCTCCAGCTGTAGAATGCCTGTCACCCAGCCACCAGCAGGGGGTAGGATGCTTGTCTGTGTGAGGAGTTTGAGTGTCAAACTACACAGGGGTGGCTAACTGCATGGTTCCAGCTTGGATGCGGATGTCCCCTGTGCAGATGAAGAGATGCACATTCTGTTCTCTTCATGGGTAGATCTTGGTTTCCTCTGTCCCAGCAGCATCACAAACCTCCATGCGCGCTGAAGAAAACAGCAGATAGTACCTGGTTTAGATGAGAAATGCTCAGTAAGGGAGTTCCCACTGGGCCACAGGCTGTTTTCTCCTGTCTCTGACTCAGAAGAGTCCTTTTGAGGGGTCTGTGCCTGCAACGTTCCCAGCAGGCTTCCTGCCTCTCCCTACTCGTACTCGCTTCTCCACTTGTTGCTCAGGCCCCTGTCCCTCTGCCCTCTGTCTCTTTTCTGCTGTATGTTCAGCACCCCCTACACTCCCCTACCACCCTCACACCTCTGTAGAACCAAGTGCCTGCCTGTCAAATGTTAGGAGCTTACTTGATGTTTGCTGAGATATTGAGTGGTCTATACCTTCATTAAAGTATGCTATGGATTTGAGGGAAATGTTCTGAACCTCATTCTTTGCACACAAAATTATAATATTTGCTTAAAAGTTTACATTTTTGTCATTAGCAATAAATAATTTTTAGTTTTCTATTGTTGTTTAATAAATCACCTAGAGGCTGGTGCCAGAGAGGCTTTTTTTTTATAAGAGTGAACAAAATATCAGGACGGGGTAGGAGAAAGTCCACTCAGAAAAGAAAAACAGGAAATGAGAAAGGAATTTCTTCTAGAACCAAAGTCCAGAATCCACAAGAAAGACCCAGATTTGTATAGAGGAGCAGGTACCTCTGGAGATAAGAATCCCAGGTAGATCAGCAGAGTCTGGTCAAATCTCCCTGTGTCCGGGGCTCCTGAGAGATGGTTTTGAAGAGGCAAGGGACCTGCACCCAACCCAAGAGGAGAACTAGAGCTTAGGTATGGGGGCGGCACTGGCACCGTCTCAGAGGGAGGTGACTGGTCAAACACCAGCAGAGAGAGAAGAAGATAAGTGGGAAAGGAAGCAGAGGAAGAAGGCGATGAACTCTCACCGTCTTCTCAGATTACTTCATGAGATTTCATAAGAAAGTAAATCATTTTCAGGTAGTTGCTTTATGATTATCAAAGCAATTTACATACATCTCTCTAAAATAATGCTTTCTCTATCTCCCCTTCCTTCCTTCCTTCCTTCCTTCCTTCCTTCCTTCCTTCCTTCCTTCCTTCCTTCCACTACACAGCCATCAGGGAAAACAATAATTGCCCATTGACTGAGCATCTACCAGACTGGTGTGAGGAGAAGGTACAACTAGGCCTTTTGGGAACTGAGGGAAGGACCTCATAGTAGTGGCTCAGGTTCATGGGAGGTAACACAGGGGTAAAGCAGTGGGAAGGGAGGAACCATCCACATACTTGAGTTTTAAGGATGTTTGGATTTCTCCAGGGCCACACCTAGCAAGCGATTGTGTGTTGAGGTCAATGCTAGGTTAGTGACCTCTGTTTCATCCACCATGATCTGAGGACATGACTGGTGTACGATAAAAGAGAACCCATGAGAGGCAAGGTCTTCAGGGCTGTGCATCATGTTGAACAGATCCAGTCAATCCTTACTCTCCATCCCAAATGACATCTGCTGTCCTTGGTCAACATGGCATCTTAAGGCTCTCACCAGAGTAGAAACAGTTCATTCCTAAAGCAGGCATTTTAGGCTTTCTTTTCCTCTCCCAGGCCTGCATCTGCTAAGAAACAGAACAGCATGTTGCTCACTTATTGTCACTTACTGAATAGCCACTTAGGTGAAGATCAGATGATTCACCTACTGTTCTTCAGGGCCTCCCAGAAGAACCAGTAGTGCCTATTGTTCACCTCCACATCCGCTTAGAGAATTAAAATGCTCAACAGAATTAGTCTGAGCTAAAGATTAAGGCTCTGTCCAAGAAACGTACTTGTTCCTGGTCCCAGAGCCCAAAACTTCCCCTTCATGTAACTCATCACCACACTGGAATCCTGTTACCCACAGCAACCCCACCAAAAAGGGTGGACAGTGGGGCCAAGCCCAGGTAACATCTGTGTCAAAGAGTAAGTGCCAAAAAATGTTAAGCCAGAGATTTTCATTACAAAAGCTGGAATAAAGATAGGATAGTCCAAAAAGGATTCCACTTCCTTAAGGCAAGGCTCATATTCTGTATAAAATGTTAGCTGGCCAGAGACTCCCCATCAGACCTGAGAGAGGCCAGACAGCTTGAAGTTTTCTCTGCACCAGGTGAATCTCTCTACTTGTAATTTCTTAATACTTGTCCAATTGTATTTTATTTGCTTGGAGTCTGTTTGTCATGCTAAATGTATATTTACTTTATTTTTTATATTTACTTTAAATGCAATGGTAATTTGTGTTTAAGGTGACAGTACAGATTTGTTGATGTCCCACTCAGATTGTAACTATGGAACTTGGGGTCAAAAAAGAGGAGTGGATTCTGTAATGATGACTTGTTCAGTTATAGGATAGGGACTATACCACCTCCAAGGTACTTTTAATATTTCTAATCATTACTAAGAATTTGAAATATTGAGGCACTGCACTGGCAATCTACATGTTCAAACGATAGGTTTTCCTTTACTCCATGAACATACCATTCATCAGAGAACATAAAACATGGGTCTAATTTACAAACATATTGCAAGGAAAGTGATTAAGAGAGAGGGCAGGGCAGGTAATGTGCTCTGGCAAATGAGGAAGGTGACTTGGATCTGGCAGAGAGTGTCTGAAGGAAGGCCATGATGTGTGAGCATGTGTGGAAACAGCAATAGAATGGAGAGCCTTCCAGAAAGCAAGCTCAGAGAGGATGGCGTGGACAGGAGGTCAGAGGTGGAATCATGTGTGCTCATGGCAGGTTGGTGTGCAGAACTATGGGAGAACTGGTTTACCTGGGAGAACTATGTTGTGGACTTGAGGGGGTAGACTTGAGACTTTTGACTTTAACATCTTTCAAGATTATTCAAAACCTGTGGATTCAGTCAATCCTGGGAGCCAGTGTTGTGCTGTGTTTCCAATATAGGTTTCCAGAATCACCAGGAAGAAAGGAAGGATAGATCAGGGCTCCATTCATGTGGAGCAGAATAAAGCACCTTCAAGCTTGTCTTTTTGAAAGTGCACAGGGATCCCCAAAGTTCCCATGGATTCTGGGAAACAGAAGGACAGAGAAGAGAGGTTTTCACATCTGAAGGGGCATGAGATGAGATACATTTATCGTTAAATTATTCTACTTCTTTGTTTCACCAAACCACTGGCTCAACATTTCTGTTCCTAGGTTCAACCTCCTTTGAATCATGAGTTCCCACCAGCAGAAGCAGCCCTCCATCCCACCTCCCCAGCTTCAACAGCAGCAGGTGAAACAGCCCTCCCAGCCTCCACCCCAAAAACCATTTGTTCCCATAACCAAGGAACCTGGTCACACCAAGCTTCCACAGCCTGGCCAAACCAAGGTTCCTCAACCTGACCACACCAAGGTTCCACATCCTGGCCAAACCAACGTTCCTCAACCTGACCACACCAAGGTTCCACATCCTGGCCAAACCAACGTTCCTCAACCTGACCACACCAAGGTTCCACATCCTGGCCAAATCAACGTTCCTCAACCTGACCACACCAAGGTTCCACATCCTGGCCAAACCAAGGTTCCTCAACCTGACCACACCAAGGTT